CCCCCCCCACAGCTAAGCTAAGTTGCCGCCACCCCCACAGCTCATTCTGTAGGAGGAGCTGCTTCTTGGGAGGGGAGGGGTGGGGAGGTGCCCACCCCACTGCCCAGAGCTGCCAGCCTCCAGGGAGGCCCATCTGAGGTCCACCTTTCCTATCTGCCCAAGCTGCTGCCTCTGGCTCCTTCTGCTGCTGGAGCCCTAGAAAGCAGAGAGGCAGAGGCAGGCAGATGGCTGGCCACAGCCTGGGGCCCTGACGGTTTTCATTCAACAGCCTGCACGGAATTTGACCCTGAACTTCTGACATTCTGTTCCTTTCCCCAGACCACAGACTGAAAGGAGCAGGCAGGGGAGAATATGCTGGAGCAATGCCCACACTTTCTGTACTAGCTGAGGTGCCAGGTGTGGAAGGCAGTACAAAGACAGCCCCGAGCCACCCCCTTCTTTCTCGCTCCTCCTTGTCCCTCTGTTGCCTGCCTGCCCTCTCCTGGGCACTGAAATTTCTGTTTCGTCTGTAGACTTTTTCAGGAGAAAGATTTCTTGCTGGGATGGGGAAAGGAAGGGAAAGAGCCCTGTGCCCAGCTCCATCTACTCACCATTCTTCCTAGAGCCTTTCCCAGGAGCCTGGGGAGCTGACCCTGACCCAGCGGCCAGAGGCCTAGTTATCACTGGTGATCTCATGTAGCCATCATCAGGCTCTACAAGTGTTTGGAGAGGAGAGGGGCAGGGAGCAGGGAAGGTGATGCCCTACCATCAGGGAGGGGGTGGCAAGAGCACATCAGTTAGAAAGGAAGGCAAACATAAGTCCCCCAGCTGGAGCCTGGAGGGAGAGGGGCCTCCAGTTTCCTGAGTTCAACTCCACCAGGAAGCCCCTATGGCACAGGAATCCATGGGGGCAAATGTCTGTGACCAGAGCCTGGAGTTCAGGTTTGGTCCTCAGTCACCCCGAGTCTGAAGAGACCATGGGAATGGAGTTTACTTTTGGGCAGATCCTTGGGCTTGACTCTGAATGGGCTCCCCAAGCCAACCCCGCTTGAGGAGGAATGGGGGTTCTTGGGACTTTTCCTCAGGGGTTCTTATGGTCAGCTTCTGGGGCTGTTTCTCCCATGTCCTCCCCTCTAGCTACCCTCCCAGTCCATCCCACCCCACCCTTTGCTTCTGGTTACCAGAGGACCTGGCCTGTAGACACGGCTGTGGAGAGTGTAGCCCCACTTCCCCATGGATGCCTAAAGTACAGTAAGTTCCACTAATCAAACCCAAAGGGGTGGCTTCGGCTCATACTTGGACCTCAGCAGAGCAGTCTGACGTTGACTATCCATGCAGAGAGGCCTGCACCTCTGACAATCTGTTACAGCTTGGGGTACCCATCCTCTGGGCTTTGTGATACAGACTCGTATCTCCAAAGTAACGGGCCCGATAGAGTAAACTTTCTTCTGCAAAAGAGAATAGACGTTAGAAGTCCAAAGTGCAGTGACTCGCTCCTTTCCTGGGCCAGTAATTTGGAGGGACGGGGGAATGAGAAGAACAGGAGACCAGAATGAAGACGGAGGTAGCTCAGGGTCGCACCTGGCTTAAGATCTAATTGGTCAGAAGGGATGTGGCTTCTCTGGCTAGCCTGGCAGGAGGCCATGACCAAGGGGACAGCCTGGCTAGGAGAGCCCCTGAAGAAGTGACGGCAGGTACCTTGTGACACCAAATTTAAAGATCATTCAGAGATAAATTGAAGAGGCTGGTCAGATGTGCTGCTGTCACTGGCATATATATGTTTGCTATCCCTGGAGCTAAGAAGCACAGTAAGGGTCACTGAGGGACCTGAAAACTCCAGGGCACATCAGGGGCAGGAAGAGGGGAAGAGAACCTTTTTGGAAGTGACTAGAACACCGCACTCACAGCACTCCGTCGTCCTGGGGAGCTCATACCTGAGCCCCGGCTCTGGTATGCCAGGGCACAGGAGGCTTGCTGTCCCCTTGCCCAGGTACTGCCACAAGGCCCTCCCGGCAACTCCACTCACTCTGCTGCTTCTCTTTCCAGCAGTTATTTCGGAGGTTGGCTACGTAGTCGTCTTCCACATTCCGTTCTACCGTCTTTAAGCTGGAACCAGTGAACTCTTCCCCAAAGTTATCTGATACGTAGTATGGCACTTTGAGGTGCTCAGTCAGCCGCTTGTGGACGTGCCCCACTGACCTGCCGCAGAAACAGACACGGCACAGTGTAAGCCGAGAGCCACGAACAGAGGTTCCTATCCCTAAATCAGAACCCCAACCTTCTGTGTGTCTTTTCATGATTAAACAGGACCTCGAGCTTGCTGGTCCAGGTGCCTCTGGCTCGGGGAATTTGGGGAAAGGGGCCATGAAGGAAGAGAAGACAGGAGACTTCCCCTTTGGTCCTGGCCCTGCTGCCATCTTTGCAGGCAAGTTACTCAGCTCCTTTACTGATCTGAAGACTATTTGGGGTGCCTGCTGTATACCCAGAACTGTACTAGGTATGGTAGTATGGTATATGTGTATATGTTTGTGGGGGTTTATGGGGAAAGAGAAGTCAGTAGGATACAGAGAGGAATTAGAGACATAGGCCATGACCTCAAGTTGCTCAGAATCTAGTATCAAAGAACTCTGTAGGACAAGGAAGAGGTCAGCCTAGGTGACCTTTTGGGTCATCCCTTCCAACAACTCTCAAAACCCGTGGCTCGACAAGAAGCAAAGCCAACCCTTGAATAGAGGACATGTCTTCTAGCAGGGCCGCTACCTATATTTACATTCTGATGCAGACTGTCAGACATATCTCTGGAACAGAGAAATGAAGACTTGGAAAGCACAAGAGTGGACCAGATGAGGCCCTCCCACCCCCTGCTAGCAGAGGTTCCCCCATTTACTGAAAAGCAAGTGAGCACCTCTCCTGGACGTACTTTAATGGGAAAGGACTGCTTCTCTTGATGTTTGGACCAGTTTCTTGTATTACATTCCAGAACCTATCCAAGTGGGCCATGAGCAGGTGAGATCCTAATCAGCGGAGAAACTAACCCTATTCTCTATACCATCAAGAAAATCAAAAAGTGCAGGAGAAAGGAGAACGACTGGTTTGGAAGGAGGAGGAACGAGCTGGCTGCTGAGCTGGAGCCCTTCCCATCCCACCTCACACAATTCCCACACTGCCCTGGGGACAAGAGGGTTGGAGAGTCCTGGGTACTAACGGTCTTTGGCTGAGACTGTAGGGTGGGCTGGAGACCATCATCTGGCTGAGTGCTGACACAATTATCAGGATGAGGATGGGCATCAGCTGGACAAACAGCCCGAGACCACCCTTGGAGGAAGAAACACACAGTCAGTCTGGAAGCCAAGTTAGACGGTGATTGGATACCCAGTCCCATATGGGGATTTCTGGCAGTGGCCAGCCTCTTCCCCTCTGGCATTTAGTAGGTGCTTAATACATGCTTGCTGACTGACAGGAAGGTGGGGGGGAGGGGGGCATGTGTCACCTGACCATACTGGGGAGACTGGGAGTGGGGCTGGTAGATGTGGACTGCCAATGGCCACTCTAGGAACAGGCACCTAAACCTCAGTCCCAGATACTCAACACTGCTCTGGAAGAGGAGAGGAGTGGAGTGTGTCTCCCTCTAGTGTTCGAAAGCTGGCAATGCTGGCAGGAGCCACCGGCAGCAGCACATGAACCACGGGCTGGTGTGATGGCCCTGGGGGAAGGCTTGGGACTTGCCCTTCCCTGCACAGACTCTAGGCCCCGGTGGGTAGGGAGGCCTTGAATGCAGCCCCCTCTTCTCTCCTCTCTGCTCATGCTTCCCTAGTCCAGGCTTCACTCACATCCCCCTGGTTCTCCCGGCGGTCAGGCCTTTGGTGGTAGGTGTACCTCATGCGGCCATTGCTGTAGACATGGATGTTACCTGGGGGCCAGAGGGAGACTGGTCAGGCCCCGAGGCTCCGGGAGGGAGAGGAAAGCAGGAGCACGAGGAGGGAGGATAGGGGCCTTACTGGAAGGAAAGCCACCGCCAAAGAACATGTTGAAGAGGTCCTCAGGAGAGATGTCTGCTTCAAAGCCTCGGTGGAAGTCCCCGTGGCCCTGGCCCTGCCGGGCAGCCTGGCTCTTTTCGTCCCCAAATTGATCGTACTGTCTCCTCTTTTCAGAGTTGCTCAGCACGGCGTACGCGGTACCGATGGCTGTGAAGGAGAGGCAATGTCAGGGTCTGCTACAAGGCTGGCAGGGACCCCAAGACGCTAGTCCCCAGGGGACAAATAAAGAGATTGGAAAAGGTGAATGGGAAGGAAGCTGGGCAGTCCAGAGTCTGTTGAAGAGAGGCCCCGAGGAGGCTGGGGGCAGGAGAAGAGGCTGCCCAGAACCCTCATTCAGCTTACAAGTAAATGCCCACAGGGACACTACCTTTTTATTTTTGCAGCCTCTGGTGAGAGGCTGAGCCTCAGGTAGAATATACCCTCAGGCTGAGGCTCTTGGAGGATAAGGAACCCAGAGACTGCAGGGGAGCTTCCAAAGGGTGTCAATCTAATCCAACAAACTGCACCCCTACTAGGTAGGAAGCACCACCTTCTTCTATAGAAGCACATACAACAGGAGGGCACATTTAGGAAGGAATCTTGAGCTTCCCTCGAAACTCCAAGCCAACTCCAGAAACAAGCCAGGAACCTCTGGGATCTGATGGGAAACGCCTTGGACGCCAGGACTCCTGGGTTCTCTTCCCAACTCTGACCCTGACACCTGTGTCCTTTGGGATTCAACACCCTCTTCCTGTGCCTCAGTTTCAGCATTTCTGAGGCAAAGCATCCGATCAAAGATCCTCCTGACAGTCTTTTAACCCAGGGTGCACCAAGCTTCTCTATCCTTCCCTTACTGCTGTTCCCACTCCTTAAAGAGAGGTACTCCGGAACTTGGCAGGTGGTAGGTCAAATCAGATGGCAATCCTACTCCGGGGGGCTCAAAGGGCTGCCGTCCCTGGAGAGATGGTGACCAGACCAAAATGACAAACTTGGCCTGAGAAGATGGCTGCTAAGGCATCAGTGAAAGACAGCAATGATGGAGAAACATCTATAAAATGGTGGCCTCGGTCTGGCATGCTCCCTTTGCCTTCTGTAGGACCTGGACAGTAAACACTGTCTGAGTACTCTGGAGGACCGACCAATTCAATGGCCTTAGGGTTCAGACAACCCAGTGGAAATGGGTAAAGGCCCTTTCCCACTGCCTCCAACTTGGCCCCATGACTGCAGCCTGAGCCTTTAGCTCAAGGGATTGCTTAAGATTAGATATGATGTCGCAGGGGCCAAGCTGGACCTGGAAGGGAGGAGAGAGGTGCCAGCTGAGGCGGTCCTGCGCAGCATAACCTCAATCACGCCCGAGAGGTCAGGGGGCTGTTTGTTCAGGATGGCTCTCAGCCCAGCAGAGTTAAGGCTCTGGATGATAAGAAGGTGGGCAAGAATCACTTTTCCTCCCTGTGCTCACTATGCAAGTCATGTGGTCCAGAAGTATAAGGAAGTACTGGTGAGGAAGACCCCTCTCTCAGGGCTGACTGGCCCGGGTCCACAGCTTAGAGCCCTAGAGAGCTGCCTGGGCACCAGAGGAGTTAGGGACCTGTCCATGTTCACATGTCAGAGATGAAACTTGAACCCAGGTCCTCCTGACTCTAAGGTCTGCCCTCTCCCCACCAGAGCACACTGCCCGTCTCAGCAATGAAAAACACTTTATGCCATTTGGGCCTGCTCGAGGTCTGGCCACTGGCTCTCCATCTGGCTTGGGCAGACGCCGTTTCAGAAGGGGATAGAATTGGGTGGTTTGGGTGGTCCCTTTTCAGTGGCCCTCTTAAACTCTGCTTCTTTGCCGTCTCTGCTTAACCCCTTGTTGTCTGGATTCCATCTCCCTCCACTAAGGTGACCCAGTGACCCAGTCAACAAATTAAATGCCCTTTTCTTCAATTCTTCTCTTCCTGGCCACGGTCTATTGCCTTTGGCCAGGCGCCATTTTCTGCTCCTTCTCTAACCGCTCCTTGACCGTCTTCTTCAGCAGCCCCTCCTCTTCCACCCCAGCCCTTAGGGAATGGTGCTACTCAAAGTTCTGCCCCTGGTCTTCTTTTCTTCCTTTCCACCTTATATGTCTTTTTTTTTTTTAACTTTTAAGCAATTTGGGGTTAAGTGACTTGCCCAGGGTCACATAGCTAGTAAGTATAAAGTGTTTGGTCTGAGGCCGGATTTGAACTGAGGTCCTCCTGACTTCAGGGCTGGTGCTCTATCCACTGCGCCACCTAGCTGCCCTCACCTTATATGTCTTCAACTGTCACACTGATGGGCTCTTGAATCCCAAATCTACATTTCCAGCTCTCTAAGCTCCAGATCAGGGGTTCTTAACATTTTTTGTGCCATAGAACCTCTGGGAAGTCTGGTGAGGCCAGTGTGTTTGATTAATGTGTTTAAATGCATAAAATAAAATTGGATTTCAAAGGAAACTAATTATATTGAAATAATAAAACACCAAAATATCTATTAAAAAGCACAATAGTTCACAGACCTCAGGTTAAGAATCCCTAATCTGGACCTCCATCTCTAAGTGCCTAAAAGATAATGTGACTTCCATGTACCACCATTCATCTGAAAACTCTGGTGTTATCTTTGATTCTTTTCCTTCCTTTCCTTTCTTGCATCCAATTAGTTACCAAGTCTTGTTATTTCTGCCTTCTCTACCACAGCTACTATCCTTCTCATTCAGTCGGGTTTTCACGCCTCCCATAGGCTCTCAGTGGCTAGACTTGTGTCCCTTACGTTCAGCTCTCTGGTCATGTCACTCTTCTCAAAGTCCATGATGGTCCTCTCTCACCACACTGGCCCTCTACAATGTGGGGCCACACTGCCTTTCCAGGTGCGTCGTGGGCCTCTCCTACAGATGTTCTTTGCTCCACTTGTTAAATGCCCACAACTCGTGCCTTTCCTGTGGCCGGAATGTCCTGTAAAACCCAACTGAAGTGTCACCCCTTCCAGGAAACTCTCCACGTTTCCTCTCAGTTTGGGGAAAACTACTACCCTGAAGATTCCCAGACCTGTGGGCTATGCCACCCCACTTTGGATGCACTTATTATGGGAATATGTAACTGTCAGACACAGCACCCCAAAGGGAGAGGATCAGGAAAGGATCCCTGGAGTGGGGACGTTCTATCTACCTCCTAGACTAAGCTCCGTGAGGGCAGGGCAGGAACTGTGTCTCACACAACCTCCGTATCCCTCCCAAAGACTGTATCCAGTAGGTGCTTCATGGATGTGGAATCGAATTACTAAGTAAGGCCCTTCAAAATGCCATAATAATCTTAGAAAAACTAGTCCTCACCTTTAAAAGCTTCTGTGGCACCAGGGGCATGGTTCTTGTCCGGGTGAAATTTGAGGGCCAGTTTTCGGTAGGCCTTCTTCAGGTCCTCGTCCGAGGCTTCTCTGCTCACACCTAGGATCTCATAGTAGTCTTTACACTGCTTCACCCTGGAGAAGAGAAGGGAGATGGGTTGTGAAGATCACTCTTCCTACACCACCTCCTGGAGAGACGGGTCTGTCACTGAGGGTCAGAGGGCCCACCCCAACCCACCTCCACTGCCTTGACAGACTCCTTCACACAAGGGCAGGGGAGAAAGGTGCCATCTCTTCTTTAAAGTCAAAGGAGCTGATGGAATTGCAAAGAAAACCCCAAACATTTACCTAGTCTGTGCCTAAAAAAACCTAAAATTCCAACACACTAAACAATGGTAAATCACAGGCCGAGCAAATAGCCCAGACCTCAAGCCTCAGGGTTTAAGAGGCTGTTCTGAGTAGAAATTTTAATTTGGAAGGGAATTTTAATCCTGGTCTGGAATTCTGAACTAGGCTTCTCCAGGCTTCTACCACCCACTGCATTATCATTAGCACACGGATAAGTGAAGGGAAATCTGGGGCAAATAGGATGAGGCTGATTGATGGTGGCGAGTGTGAGGACCTGCCACAGGATGATCTCTTCCTAGTAATGATTGCTTATTAATGCTGAGGTAGGCAATGAATTGAGCCTTGCAGGCCCCTAATCTACCTCTCACCCCAAGGAACAGTAAAATCTCACATTCATAGAGAATCCCTTACTTGACAGAAAACAAAGCATTTTATCTCTGTGATCTCGCTTAATTCTCACAACAACCCTGTGGAGTAAAGCACCTAAGTGTCATTGTCTTCATTGGATGGATGAAGAAGAGAGGCTCAGAGAGGTTACAGAATTTGCCCAAGGCCACAGAAAGGGCTGGGATTTGAACTCTGGTCTTCTGACTCCATCCTCCTGCTTCTGCACACTCACTGCCTCCTGGTTCTGCCTCTACCCTAACAGAAGAGGACTTACACTGGCTCGTGCCCTATGTGATTTTGGAGGGAGAAAGGAAGAAGGTAAGGAAGTAGGGGTAGAGGGGAGAGAAGTGGAGAGATTCAGCCTTCTTCAGTTCTGGCAGAGATGTCTGAATAGGTTCAGGACTGACCGAGCAGGGAGATGACTGGGTGAACCACAAGGGACCTTGGGAGGAGCTAAAGGGGATTTATTTGATTTTAGTGTGATTTAGTCTGTTACGGGTCACCCCCAATCAGGGGCTCATTTGGACTGAGCTGTGCATTGAGATAGTCATAGAAGGGTTTTTAATTCATGTTCCATGGACCTACCAAAGGTTTTTGGGAAGTGATCATAGTCTAAGGATTCTGTAGCTATTTTACTGGGTCCCATCCTCCACACCCAACTGGACATTGAACACTGAGGTTTTGAGTCAGGAAACAATGCAAGAAAGCTCCTTCACAAGAGTGAAGGCCATTACCAATGGCACTGGGCTGCCCAGCCAGGCTCCCCACCTTTTCACAGCTTCCATCTGGTCCTGTGTGTAGCCTTTTGTGCCCTCTCCTCCAGCCTCGCCATTGGCAGAAGGTGTTTCTCCCCCACCTGTTTTCCGGTGAGAACTGGCTGTGTCTTTTGGCCTGGCCTGGCCATGAGAGGTCTGTCCGTTCTGGACGAGGGATTCAATCAATGCTGAGCAAAGTAGAGAAAGAAAAAAGTGTCAAGATTTTGTGAAACTCCATCTCTTGCAACCTATAGCTTGCTCTCTTTATGGTTCCCAGGCACAGGGACCAGTGAGTAAGAGGGTGACCCTGAGAAGGTCCAGAGGCTCATTCCTGCAGGCTTGGCTCTATTCCACTCAGCACAGTCTCAGTACTGAATTAGGAAGACTAGAATAGAAGCTGCCTTGTGCTCCAGACCTATCCCGTGGTGGTAGGTCAACGCGTATGGGGTCTGTTCACTCTTTCAGGAATTGAGACGTTCTCAAACACAAATGCAATTCCACTGTCATGGTTGAATGATCAAGAGCGGATCCGGATCCAGGATCTACCTAGACCACTTATAGAAGTGATTGGAAGGTCACTGTTATTCCTAAAACCATTTCTCAACCCCCAAAGTGAAATAAGCCTTCTTCCTTATATGGATGCCTTCCAGAACAGGAATCTCTCTTTCTTCAGATGTGTTGCCAAAAAAACCAAGCATTTGACTCCAGTTTGGCAAATCCCAGGCACCCATCAATTTTCACCCTAGCATCTAGGATTTGTAGCACAATCCTAGTTCAAAATCCTTATGGATCCACTTGACTTTCATTGTTATGATAATTTGAAAAGTCAGAAACACCACAAAAACACCATTCTCAACAGGCTGTGGCCACAGGGAGCAGGGGGATGTTCTGGGACTTCATAACTTCCACTGCTTTCTCTCTGATTTGGGCTCTGCTCCCTGTACCCTTGTAGAATGAGCATAGCAAAGAGAAAGGAAAAAAAAGGCATATGGAGTAGAATGGAGTACTGTGGAATAGTAGATGGAGTAGAAAACTGCTTCACTTCTTTTCAGGCCTTTCACAGCTGAAAATTTAATTTCTAGCCAAAATGTAACAAATAGAAAGTACTTAAATGAGATCAGTAAGTTTCTGCCTTCTTGATCCTACTGAAATGGATGCACCAGTGGGTTCGAGGGTAGCCAATCTAGAAATTGGCTATGGTTCTTTTACCCAGTATCACAATGAAAGTTATCTGTTCTACAACTTTCTGGTCTCTCTTTGGGTTTTTCTTCCTTCAGACTTGGTGGGCTTTTTGTTTTTGTTTATTTGTTTTTTTGCCTTTCTCTCATTTTTTTTTGGTTTTTGTTTTTTTTTTCCCTTACTCTTTTTACTTCTTTCCTGCCTGGATATGGCCCAGGGAGATTGGTGGACAGATGTGTTTAGCTTTCACTTGGATTCTTTACAGAGGTCCTCTTGTTTCAAACCCTTAGTCACTTCCAACCCAGTTGTGACATGAAGTTGAGAAACAATATGGGCTTTTGGAGGTGGGGTGGGTGGATTGGGGAGAGAGGGCAGGAAGAAAAAAAAAACACTGAAAAACTGGTCTGGCATCCACTGTTAGGGCTGGCTTCTCCATGCAAAATATTCTCCTAGATCGAATACACTGCTGGTTTTTGTATAGTTGAGAAGGGAGTGCAAAACAGAGGGTGAATCAAGGTGGGAAGGGCTGTGGCTCTGCCCATAGGAGGCTTAGTATCTGTGTAAGAGAGAGTCATGAACCCTAAGTGTGGCACTGGTTTAACAGTGCTTCTGCCGCAAACTTTATAAGGGAGAACTGCACTACTCCTCTATGCCAGGAGGTCAGAGAGAACCCTATGGCTAATGTGGATGGCTGGAAGGGCACTTAAGAGACTGTGTTGCCCAGTCCTGCTTTTTTACAGATGAGGAAACTGACGGGCAGAGCTGAGATGTGCATTAGGACATATTGCCTAAGCCAGCTTTGGTCGGTTGCAGGTAGTGCCAGCTGAGGGCAGAGGAAGGAGCAGAGGGCACAAAAGCAGACAGCAAAGCCTAGTGGGACCAGCATGGCAGAAAAGGATGTTTCTGCCTACTAGCTGTTTCCCTATCTCCATTTTCCAACTGTTTTTGTCCCTCTTTTGTACCTAGAACATAATATTCATTTCTACCTATCAGAATTCTTAATCTTTCTTTATTCAAGGCTCAATTCAAGCCCCATCTTTTATTTTAAGTCTTCTTCATCTTCTCTTGACTTGTTAGAGCTCTCTCCCTTATCAATTATGTTGTCTTAGCTTATCCATGTACCTATCCCTTATGCCTCCCCCCCAATAAAATACAGGTTCTTTGCACCCAAGGACTATTTTTCATCATTTTGTCATTCTGGGGTATGAAGACCCAGGGACCCCGAACATCTCTGGGCTGGAAAAAGGGAACCTTTCTAGGTGTTTAGTGCCACCTATACTCTCCGCTTTGAGAGTTGAACAGGGCCTTGCGGAGTAGAGCTCTTCACCTCAAGTATATCATTCCACTGTGAGGCAATCGCTGCCTCCGTCTCAGTACACATGACCTGAGTCAGCAGCTGGGAAATACAAATAGACTCTCTCTAGGCTGGCTCTGTCCAGGCTGGGGAGGGGGAGGAGCGGCTCCTGAAGCGAGGCTGCCAGGTAGTCTACCTCAGAAGGGAGAGGTGAAAATGGGAGCAGCTGAACAAGGTGAAGGCAATTAAGTGGGGAGTCAGTCCCTCAACGTGGGACACACTTAGAGACCACGCTCTCAACTTTCTCTCAGTTGTAAGCTCTAAGTTATGGCCATAGTCCCAGCCATCTGGGATAGAAACTGTCTTCGTTCAAGGACAGAGATCTGAGGATGCTGAGGATGGTTCCCTGCCTTGTGACTTTACAAGAAGCTGTTGATTGCACCGTGTCCATGTGTTGAGAAGAAGGGTTGGGAAGGCTCCCATCAACGGATGTCAAGAATGCCTCTTGCATGGAACATTTAAGTGTGTTAGCATCCTCACATGTTGTCAACCATTCTCCCCACGTAACAAAAGCAGAGGGCATGTAGAAATAGACTTGTTCCCTGTCACAGCTTGGTCACAGAACAGCCAGGAATGAAAATCAGATTTCTTAATTCCAAGCAAGTCCTATCTGTGAGCTGCTCTATTCGAAGGTCAGCTGCTTGAGGACAGTGCCTTTGAGGCCCTGTACTTAGCCGGGTCCTGTCCTATCACAAGTGCCTGGCACCTGCTGATCGATTAGTATAGCAGGCAGTCTTCCTTCTGTCTCTTCCCCTCTCATTGGCCCACATCGTCTCCAATCCTCAGTTTCTCTGGCAGCATTTTAGGTGAATGCTCTTGTGTGCCTGTATTTTTAGGGACCAGGTGATAAGGCAATGTTACACCAGAGAGGCTGTAGCCAGGATGCTGGAGCTGTTTCTGAGCTCTTGGCACCATGAGTCCTGCACTTGCAGAGCACTCCCTGACTCACTTCCTGCATTGAGGACACCCACAGCATAAGCCATGGATGCCTCTGATTCCCCAAAACCCACTTCTGAAGGCGAGGATTGCATTGGGTCCTTGGCCCTAGAGACACTGACACCTGGGGAAAGTGTGTTTCTTGCTTCCACAGGGTGGGGAGGAAATTTTTAATGTAGGTTTCTTGTGACCTGGTGGCAGAAGCATGGGATCCTAATAACTGAGGGGATATGTTTCAGTAGTCCAGAAAGCTGTGTTTGATTTTTGTTTTTCCAGCCTATCCTTTATTTAACTAGACTGTGTCTGCTTGAGACACCTACCACCCAACTGCTTGGTATTCCTATCCTGCCCTTTCTCTGAAACCTGTATGAAAATTTCCTTGCCCCATGCATCTTCAATAACTGTTGAGTTCCTGCCTGTGATATTAGATGGGGGACACCAATCATGAGTGCTTGGAAAAGGCTTTAATCTTTCCCATAGAACTTGTTCTCTTTCCTATTCCTGAGCAGCCCTCTTGTTTGGGATCCTGGGTGTTTCCCTACACCAAACATGTCATGTTCATAAAGCAATGGCCAGAGCTGGGATCCGAGCCATTCCTCCTCTTGCGATGGCCTGAAAGTTCATCTCCCCCAATCCGAGCTGTCCCTGGATGGCTGTCTCCGACTGTCCCTAGACAAAGCCAGTGTATCCCAGTTTCTCTAGTGACTGTAGTCTCCATGTATTCTCCCCTTCTCTTCCCTGTCCCCTTTCTCACGCTCCTTCCTGGGTATCTCAGATGAAGTGCCTTTATTTGTGTGGATTAAATATATCACAAAAAGGCCTTCTGCCCTAAGCAGATATGTCTAGGCCTCTCCGCACCCCACCCTCTGAAACAGTTACAATGAACTGGCGCTCAGCGGGAAGGACATCAGTAATCCCGGGGTCCTCTCCCTGTTTCCCTGTGGGTCTCACTATAGAGTTGTCTGACATTTAAAAAAAAAAGAAGAAGAAGATAGGTCAGGGTCATGAAAGAGAAAAAATTCCAACAGCTGGAGGAAGGAGCCACTGAAATGGGGGGGGGGTCAGTTCTTGAATAGAAGAGAGCTCTGCCCCCTCACTGTGGTGTCCTTCTGGGACACTATATTATACTATATTATACTATAAAATAGTGAAAAGTACCTGTTTTGAAAAAAGCTGGATTAATATTCGATAGACTTCTGTAAAGAGCAAATATTCTTTTATCCATAAAGTTTCCATAGGTATTCAAATGTGCAGTATTTCAGCTTTCTTTGGCCAAGAATTTTCTGCCACAGGTCAAGACTTTGCCCAACACTCACTTGCCAACTCAGTGTAAAGCTATATGAGAGGCTGGGAGCTACAGAGGAGGCTTGGATTACAATCTGTCTTTTCAGTGTAAGCCAACTTAAACCTGCATCGTGGTATCACAATGGCCCACTGACTGAATCTGAGAAAAGCCCACTTGTGCTGCTGGCTGGGGGACAAACAGTGAGGAGAGAGCTGGTCTTTGTGACAGCTTCTCAGAGGCTGGTGCTCCAAGCTGCTGAGACTCCCCTTGCATATCTTCTGAGGAGGACAGCAAACGAGCAGTCACCCCCACAAAAGACAGACTACTTCTGCTCTGGTTTTTTTTTCCTACTCTGTAGTCACTGGTGCATGCAGGGCAGGCGACAGCATTTTAGAGGACAGCAGCTTCACCACCAGGTCAGTGGGGGCTACTAAATCATATGTAAGGATCCCTGTGGGCCGCATACTGACTTAGAAAAACACCTATTAATATTATCTACGTTTTTACTATATTTTAATTTATTTTGTTAAATATTTCTAACTTACATTTTAATCTGGTCCAGCTCCTCTGCTGGCAGGGGACTTAACTGAATCAAGTCTAGCTTTTGACTGTTTGATCCATTTCACATAGAGCTTCCTAGAGGAGGCCCCTCTAGGTTTTCAGTAGACTGGCTGGGGGCGGACTCCCAAGATGGGAGCAAGCAGGCTAAAGGTCAACTCCTACAGTATGACAAAGAGAGGAAAGTCCAGAAGCTGATGCCAACTTTCTCCCGGGATTGCTGATATGTGAGGGGAGAGTTCCTAGACTAAGAGTAGCTTGACATTTTCCAGGCACAGATCCTGGACCTTCTAATGGGGCCATCGATTTCTGGATGTAAGGCTTACACCAACAGAATAGTAAGCTTTGAAACTTTATACCTGATACTTGCAAGGAGCCATCATCTAATCACTGTGGGGCTTCCTCCTTCATTAGAGCACACGTCAAACCCATCTCATCCTGTACCACCATTGGTTGTCCACGTGTTCCCATAAACCCTCCACGGAGAATCTATTCCATCCTGCAAGATGTCCCCTTTAAGACTTTTAGCATTTCTTGGGGACCACTGTGGCATTTGAAAGGTTGGGCTGAAGAGAAAAATGTGAGCATAGATGAGGATAAGGATCTTACCCCTACCCCTCTGCTGCCCATTTCTAAATGCAACTTCTTCTAGAGGGTCACTAGCTTCCTCCCCCATCCCCCAACTCACTCATAGCTTCCCTGACCGTTTGCCCATCAGGCTTCCAAAGCTGGCCCTTACACAGCCTGCTTCCAGGTAGTGGTTTCCAGCAGGCCAGAGGTCAGGAACCATAAGGGTTGGTTCTGTGGATTTCACAGTCAGTCAGTCAATAAGCATGTATTAAGCGCCTACTATGTGCCAGGTGCTAATTCTTGGGGATACAAAGAAAAGCAAGACAGCCCCTGCTCTCAAGGAGCACACAGTCTTGGAGAGGAAGAGACAGCAGGCAAACAGCGCACAAACAACACCCAGGTAGGATTAAGTGGGGAGCCTCAATTGAGATGGGGGGGCGGGGCTAGCAAAGGCACTACAGCAGGCGGCTAAGGAGGCCGGGCGCCCAAGCCTGGGCCTGCCTGCAGGTGTCACAGTCAAGGGAGCTGGGCTGGGGGTGGGGGGCGCCTTTCCCGAAGCCGGGGCCCGACTCCTCCCATCCCCAAAGACCTTGGTTTATTTCTCGAAGCTAGCACTATAATTAACTCCTTTCCCAAGCCAGTAACCGGCACCCATCCGCCGCGCTGCCCTCTGGGAAGTGTAGTTTGGCTTCGCCTCCTTGACCCCGCCTCCTCACCCCATGAAATCCCAGGGGGCCCGCAGCCTCACTCCGCAGGAACTTCATGTCCCGAGATGCTCCGCGCGCAGAATCCAGCGGCGGACCCTTCCCCCCATCTCAGTTTTCCAACCGTAGCTGATCCCGAAGTAGCTGAGTCGGCGGACTACAGGTCCCAGCAGCCTCCTGCGCGCGTCAGTGCGCAGGCTCGAACGGGCCTTGCTGTCTCTGACCCCCTCCCCCAGCCCCTTCAGCCGTTTCTCTCGGTCCCTTCTCCTTTCCTCGCGTCCCTCATCCCCCTCCACCGTGCCCCGGCCCCTGACCGCCTGCTCTGCCGGTCGGCAGCGCCGGACACTCACCGCGCACCCTTGGCGTCGGGTAAAGCCTCTGTGCCTTCTCCAGGAAGCGCAGCGCCCGCTCGGGTTGGCGGCTCTTGATGGCGCTGAGGGCGATGGTGATACAGCGCTCGGCTTCATCTTTATTGGATTCCATGGCGGAACCTGGGCGCGAGGGAGGGAGGCGGACGGAGGCCGGTGGGGAGGGCGGGTTTCGCCAGCGACCGGCGCGTAGTGAAGGGGGGGGCGGCAGCGGCGCGGGGAGATGACGTCACAACACCCTCTCCCCCGCCGCGGCCTTCGGCGCCCGAGGTCGGTGCGGAGCGGGCGGGGGTGGCGGTGCGGCCGAGGGCCCGGGCCCGGAGCTGGCCGCCCGCGGGCCGGGGACCACGTCTTCCTTGTGCGCCTCGGAGCCTTCGACCTGACGGCCTCTGTGATAAAATGCTTTGTAAGGGCCCTTCTCCCCCCGATCCCTTTGAGACCACGAGGACTAAAGGAAAAACCGCCCCTGCTCTCGAGGAGCTCAGCGCCAGCCTACCGTGGGGCACATGTGCCGATCCCGAGCCGAGCCGTCCTTAGGCAGAGGCTGGAGGACAACGCCTCTCAGTTACTCATGCTGCCCTCAGGTGCCCAGCCAGGACAGGTGAGAGGCAGGAACCGAACCCAGGGCCAGCGGCGCTGCCTTCAGCATTGGACCTGATGTGTAAATGCAAGATAATTTGAGGAGAAACATGGGGGGGAGTGGGGTGAAGGGGGGGCGGTACCCGGAAAAGCTCAGGAAATGGCACTCGAGCTAAATAAAAGAAGGTAGCCCAGGGTTCCAAGTGGTAAAGGTGGAGAGCGAGTGGGGTCCAGGCTTGGGCAATCAGGAGGCAGGTTGAAGGCTGGCCAACAGCAAGTTGTCTACTTTGAGTGGACCGTAGACTCAGGGAAGGGGATTAATGTGCTTGTGATCCATAAGGGTAGGCTGAAGCCAGACTTGGAAGGGCTTTAAATGTCGATCTGAGGAGTCTGTATTTTATCCTAGAGGCAATAGAAGTCATGGAAAATTTTTGAGCATAAAAGTGACATGGCCTGACTTGTTTCCTTAGCAACCCGTCGACTAACAAACATTTATTAATCATGTTACAGACATTCTGCTGGGCCCTGAGGATGTCAGTGCAAAGACAATCCCTATTCCGAAGGTCTTATATTCTAATGGAGGAATACAGTCATTCAACATGCAGACAGCTATTTCTGAACAAGACTAATATAGGATAAATTGGAGATAATAGATGAAAGGTACTGACATTACTGTGGATCAGGGAAAGCTTCTTGTAGAAGGTGGGATATTAGCTGGGACTTGAAGGAAGCTGGGGAAGCTAGGAGACAGAGATGAGGGAAAGTATTCCAGGCAGGAGGGACAACAGGAGAAAATACTGGGAGTTAGGAGATGGAGTTTCTTATGAGAGGAACAGCAACGAGGCCATGTCACTGAATTAGAGAGTGTGTTTAAGAAGACTAGAAAGGTGAGAGGGGGAAGCAGTTGATGAACTTAACTTTGAACACCAAAGAGAGGATTCTGTATTTGATCCTAGAGGTGATAGGGACTTACTGGAGTTTATTAAGTAGGGTGACTTGGTCAGACCTGCACTTGAGGAAAATCTCTTTGACCACTTAGGGGAGGATGAACTAGAGTGGAAGAAGGAGCATTCTGGGCATGAAAACCAATCAACCACCAAGTCTTTCTACCTTCACCTTTCTCTAATCTGTACTCACAATTTCCCTTTAAAATGAACTGGACTACTTGCTATTCCTTAAACAGCGTTCACTTTATCTCCAAACCCATTCCCCTCCTCCCCCAGTTCCTCCACTGTGATGTTTTCTCTGATCTGTTCTGAATAACTCCATCCTCTGAATAGCACTTTGAGCCTTATTACTTTCCTTCTTTCTAACTTGTTTGTAGATACTTGTACAAGGACTTGCTTATACATCTTTATGCCTTCCACTTAGCATGGTACCTTACACATGGAAGATGAATATTTGCTGAAGTAATGAACAGGGTGAGGACTGTGGGCTGTTTTCTGTAGAAGCAAGACCTTGGTCAATATATTAGGACTGCAACTAATCTCTTAAGACCAATGAAAAGGTTAAGCAGAATTTAGCTCTTTGGAAAGAGGAGACTCCAGGGTGTGAGAAGTTCAGAGAGGATCCCCATCGGATCCTCAGTGGAAAGTGAAGAATCTCATAGCTTAGTTTATGCATAACCTACTTAGGCCAAAGAATTACCAAAAGCAGCATCAGCAAAATTGCATGAGGTTGGTGTCAGCCCGTGCCCTGGTTCAACACCTATCTTCCCCTCTCTCTGCCTTATTTTTCTCTGGCCAATTTTAGACTCCTGCTGAAGGACTTGGTTTAGGTCTCCCCTCCAAATTATCTAAGGCCTGAAAATTATGTTTTCTCTTAAATTAAAATTTCTATCCTCTCAGTGGCTGAGCTCTTAGTGAGATCATATCCTCTACCTGGTAGGATGAAGCTTGAGTGAAAGGATTGTCATTTTTATCCCTGTGGCCTTAGGCCTTAGCACAGTACCTTGTACCTAATGTAGGCCTTATTAAATGTTTGCTGAATTAATGTACTAATTGGTAACTGTTTGGGTTTTATGATTAACACCATGCTATAAATGACTCATAGGTATTTGCATTTTAAAAGAGAAAGTCCTTAATCCAAATGAATATTAACCAGTGGAATGAATAGGAGTTATTTTTTAGCTGGGGGGAAGGGGGCCTTCCCAAATAAGGACCTTCCTTACATAGCTTGGTTTCCCTCTTCCCACCACAAAACAAAGGGGATCAATGAGTTAGCAGTTTCAAATATTAGAGTTGGAAGGGAATTTGGCAAAAACAGTCCATTCTAATTGGGGGTAGGGAAAGACAACATGCAAACAACTGTACATACAACAGAAATGGAAGATAAATTGGATCTAATCCCAGAGTTAAGACACTAGTATTGAGGTTCCCATTTGGAGCCCCCCAGAGGCCACAGTGCAGAGACTTTTGAAGATCTATGACAATCCATACCCTCCCCAATAAGACCCTGGAAATCAGAGACCCTGACAAATGGACAGCCAGGGTCTAATCTTTGATTTTTTTTTTCATCCTTTTAGGCAGTTGGGGTTAAGTGACTTGCCTAGGGTCACACAGCTAGTAAGTGTCAGGTGTTTGGTCTGAGGGCAGATTTGAACTCAGGTCCGCCTGACTTCAGGGCCGGTGTTCTATCCACTTAGCCACCTAGCTGCCCCTTGCCAGGATCTAATCTTGAGGGCACATCCCCTCCTCCCACCACCTTGAACTCTCTGGATATCAACCATGTTTTCTCATTCTTTTTTGGTGCAGTTTTCTGTGTATTTCACATGGTCTTATTTCTGTTACTGTCTTTAATAGTAGTATATTCTTTTGGTTCAATTTTCTTTACTCCTAAACACTTTGTAACAGAGTTTTACCATATTATGTTGAATCCTTGTAATTTTTTTGTCCAGACCTTTGATTTAATTGGTTTAGGGAATTCCTTCTTCCCATTGTTAGTCAGTCAATAAGCATTTGTTAAGCACCTGCAATGTGCCATGCTCAGTGTTAAGCACTAGGAATACAAAGAAAGGCAAAAGAGAGTCTCTCCATTGGGGAGACAACATGCAAATAGTATATGTGGAGAGAGATAGTGTGTGTATATGATAAATCAGATAATCAGTAGAGGGAAGGCACTAGCACTTGGGGGAAGGGGTGTAGGGTGTTAGATGTAAGAAGACGGAAGGGTCAGAAGGGGCCAGGTCGTGGAGAGCTTTGAATGCCAAACAGGCTTTTATATTTGATCCTGGAGGTGATCAGGAGCCGATCGAGCTTGATGAGCCAGAGGATGATGTGGTTAGATCTGTGAATTAGGCAGGTTAATTTGACAGCTGAATGGAAGATGGACTGGAGGAGGGAGAGACAAGGCAGGGAGGTCAACTAGAAAGCTCTTTCATTACCCCAGACGTAGGTAATGAAGGCCTGCATCAGGCCTGTGGCAGTGTCTGAGAAGAGTAGGGGGTGTGTGCAGGAGTTGTTAAGAAGATAAAATTGACAGGCCTGGGAACAGATTGGATATAGGGGGTGAGGAAGAGTGAGGCATCAAGGATGATGGTTGTGAGTCTGGGTGACTGGAGGGATAGTGGTACCCTTAATTGTAATAGGGAAGTTAGGAAGAGGGGAGGTTTTTGGGGGAACTGTAATGATTTCAGTTTTGGACATGTCGGGTTTATGAGGTCTACAGGATGTCCAGTAGAGGCAGTTGAAGATGTGAGACAGACTGGAGGACTTGTAATCCTGTGTATTTTGTTGCATGCATTTCAAAACATTATTCTGAGAAGGGGTCAATTGGAAATTCGAGTCTGAAGGTTAGAAGCAAGGTTAGGACTGGATAAGCAGATCTGAGAATGATCAACATAGAGATGATAATTGAAACCATGGGAGCTGATGAAATCACCAAGTGAAACAGTATAGAGGGAGAAGAGAAGAGGGCCCAGACAGAGCCCTTGGGGACAACCACCTTTAGCTAGCATAACCTGGATGAAGATCTAGAAATAATAGCTAGCTATATTTATATGTATTTCTCTCAGTATATTTATATATCTGTACCTCTATTTAAGGTTTGCCAAGTACTTCATAAATATTCTCATTTTATCCTAACAAGGAGTCAGGGAGGCAGATGCTGCTGCTGTTATCCCAATTTTACAGATGGGGAAACTGAGGCAGAGAGGTTAAATGCCTTGCTCAGGATCACACAGCTAGTAAGTCTCTGAGGCAGGATTTGAAGTCAGGTCTTCCTGACTCCAGGCTCAGCACTGTTTCCACTATATCATCTACCTACCTATATACCCATGCAGATCTGAAACTATTTCACAGAGTTGCCTGTGGAACTAAAGGATTATGGCTTGGCTACGGTCACAGAACCAGTGTGGTTCAGATGGCAGATCCTAAGATCGTAGGACCTTCGATCTGGAACTGTAAGGGACCTTCTAGTTCAGTTCTCTCATTTTACAGTTGAAGAAGTAGGGAAACTGAGGCCCAGAGAGGTTGTGACCTGTCCAGGGTTACATGGGTAGTAAGGATCTGAGATAGAAGTTGAACCCCAGTGTCTCTAACTCACAGCTGCCTCTCTATGCAGCGTGACAAGCGGCCTTTCCAGTTTTCATGACGTGATAG